ATGGTGATGGCCCTTTGCATTTCTACCAGCTTCTCTTGATCTTTGGCATGAGCTCGACGAAGAGTGTTGAGCTCCTTGGTAAGGTTCTCGATGTTGGCGGGATTGCTTGAAGATCCTTCATCTCCTAGGGTCTTGGAACTTCCTTCACCAAGCTCACGGTTACGCGGTGCCAACTGGTGACGAGGGACTCCGTGAGGTCCAGTGGACTTGTGTGCGGTTATCTTGGTCTTTGCCATAGCCTGTAGAAGTGAGGGTAGGACTATAAGGATAGCTTGAGGATAATGGAGGTTAGCAAGAATGGGATTGACATTACTTACCCAACCACTTTTAAGGGGAATTATTATGCAAGGTGTTCAAGCATGATGCATGAATCGATCTTATGAATCTAAGTACAAACGATTTATATAATCAAAAGTACTAGATTTTTAATACATAGGACAAACCTAATCATATTATCCGCCACAAACTTTTAAATAAGATAGGATTGAGGCTAGATCAGAGGTAAGAAGAAAGAAATTTGAACTTTAAAATATCAAGTTTACTTTCTTTGATCCAAATAAATTTGAAGGTTTTCAAAAGTAACCTACAATGATCTTAGATAGGACCTGCTCTGATACAGGTGTTGGGTCAAGGTAAGGATGTAGCAAGATTCAAAAGTTTTTTGACAAAAGCTTACTATTCTTGATCCTATTTTCGAGTTTTACCCCTAAGTACTTTAGTTCGTTATCTCAAACTAAGTGTTCATATCCCATATTCCAATCCTTCTCATTTTAGTTCTTTTCTCATGTTTTAGTAATTCACCAATCCTGCATTGCTTCTGTAATGAATCGAGTCTCCATATCCGCGGCGCACCGGCAATTCGAATTGATTCAAGTCCTAGCTGGGGATTCCTTATCACACGACATATGTAGAACTTAATCTTGCATATATCAACCTCGCTACCGGATCCTCCTATACTAAGCCATCTCCACGCCACCCGAGAGCACAGCACACCTCCAATCCGGCCATATTCCAGCCATAAGGGTACATGCTACTCCCACCATCTCTCCACTCCCAGTGCGTGGGCATTTATCTTAGTATCGGATTAGCCGAAGTAGGCTTACCAGAGTATGTGACCAGTACTATAAAGTGTCTCGTTTAGAAGATCCACAATGAGTGGCCTTTAAGCGACATAGTCGGCAACATTACCCAATATTCAAGATAAGTCACCCGACTAGTCTCTAATTCATTCTATCTTCTTTCTTTCTTTGGCCAGTATGCCATCTTTGATTGTATTGAAACTTTTACTTTGAAAGCCTACCATAAAGCATACTAAGCAATTCTACGCCTTTGTAAATGAAATCATCTTCAAGGATGGTAAACAATTAACAAGGTAGGCAATGCATCAAGTAGGTAACATTTGAATAAATCAACTTAATGCAATAGGTAACATAGGTGATAAACTTTTCAAAGTAAACAAGGTAATGGTTTAATGCATAAACCGGGGCTTGCCTTCGTTGACGGTATCGGGTTCCAGATCAGTACCACAAATATCAAATTCTGAGACAACCGGGGATTCTTCCACAACTTGCTCAACTAGAATCGGTTCACTCTCGGATTCTACACGAAATAATAACATATGCTTCAACATGATGATAATGTAAACATGATGCTTTCATGGTGCATGAAATGTAATAACACCTTGAGTACAACTTTCCTTCACGATATAGTTGCAAGCCAACAAAACCAACTTGCAATTCTACCATCAAGGATCACACAAAAATGTTTACTAAGAAACCCTACATTCTTCTAAAGAACTACCCAAAGTTTCACTCCAAAGTTCTACCCTTAATGAATGAAATCATTCATTAACTATACTCTATCCAAACTTTAATGATCTAGGGCTTGTGACATAAGTGACTTGACCAAATTGATCTTGAAATCCTACTGATCATAAAACATGACTAAAACAAGATCAAACCCTAAACTAAACTTAGGGTTTGCTTTTATTCATTTTTGAATTAATTTGGAATTAAGCTCAAAATAAACTTGTTCCAAATGACCTCAAAATTTTATGTAAGATTCCTCATGACAAATTAGTGTACCAAAATAAATTTCATAATTTTTGGAGTTATACAGTGGCCTACAAAAATTATGGAAATTGCATTTATCAATTAATTGACTAAATTTTTTAACATTAAAAATTTATTCAAATTTCAAGTTTTATATTTTTAAACCATAATGGAACATGTATAGAAGCTACACATAAATTTTCAAAACTTTTAGAGCTGTAATTATTTTTCTATAAATTTCCAAAGTTGCTGTACTATTTAAAATTCAGAAAATAACAAAATCTCATTGTTCTCCTCTCTCTCTCGACACCAGGCCCTGGCAAATCCACACGACACAGAACAAGGCACACGGTGGCGCTGCCAGCTCCGGCCAGCCAAACGCGCCGACGGTGAGACTTCGGCGAGGCAGACCGCACCAGCAAGATCTACACCACCCCGCGAACCTATCCCGACCCTCAGAACAGTAGCAGGCACACCAGAGGACGCTCTACGCCGACCATGGCGGCCACGGGCATGGCGGCGAGACACTCCCCGACGTGACTGACTCCGACAGGGAAAACAACACAGCATACGAGCAACAGGATGACTTGGGGAAGCTAAACCACAAGAAGAATCGACGAGAGGCTCACCGGAGTGGCTTGACCACGGTGAGATGATCGTGGCAGAGCTCTGGCCGGTCACGGGGAAGAACGCATTGCGCTGGGAGATTCCGGCCAACCCAAGCGATGCGAGCAAGCCGAAGAGGAGCGCTAGGCCGAGGCGATCACGCTGGCTTAGCTAGGCATGACGGGAAGGGTTCGACGGCGGCTACGGCGAGCGGCGGAGCTGAGCGGTGGTGGAACAGAGCAGAGAAGAAAAGGAAGGACGACGACGGCGGTTGCTCCTATTTATAGAAGGGAAGGAGGCGTCCAGCGTTGCCAGCTCCCGAACGAGTTCGCCACGGAGACGCCTGCGTGTCACCGCGCGAGAAAGCGGCGAAGACGGTCGGTGGCAAGCAGCTGCGTGGTGCCGGCGGCTGCAAATTGATTTTTTGAATTATTTACATAATTGTCACTGCGTTTATTTTGCAAATTACTCACAAATTTTCTAAAGAAGTTGAAAATCTCCAAAAATGAAAGTTGCTCAACTTTTCAAACTCTACAACTTTACTTTAATGAACATTTTCAAATTCTGCTTTCATTTTGAAATTTGAATTTGGGGTGCATTTGAGCATTTGAATCATTTCAAAATTACTCCAAATTTTATATGTAAACTTTAAAAACTTTGAATACCAAAGTTGATCCTTATAAAATAAGCTTCAACTTTGTTTTTTGTCACACCCTTAAATTCCAAATGGATTTTAAAATAGACAAAAGGGGCAAAAAGGAATTTTATGATTTGAATTTAAATTCACATTTAATTTGTTTCCCTTTTTACTATATTATAGTTTTTGACCAATTACATGGCCCATTAGGGTTATTTGAGTCAAATGACACATGGTCTCACATGATCACATGAAATTTGATCCTTGTGGTCATGATTTTCATTTAGAGTTTTGAATCATATTACATCACATAAAATAACAACTTATGAAATAAAACTTATTTAGTGAATGCATTCAAATTTTCCTACTTTATGAATGCTTTGCAATGCATATGATGACATGTCAAGTTTTAGTGTTAGGTCAAAACACCAGAGGTGTTACAGTGTGCCTCTAAAAAAGTTCAGCGGTCTTCAGCGCAACTGCTTCAACTTTTTTGTGCCCTCCATGCCACTACCGTCAGTTTGGGCTCTAACGTCGTCAAACTGCAAGTGTGAAAAGACAAAAATACCCATAAGTCTGAATATGTCGTTAATTTTTTGAGCATCTTAACGACTTCAAATGAAAAAACTCAAAACCAGAAAGTTGTAGATCTCGTCGAGATCTATAATTTTTATAGAAAAATTATCTTCATTTAATTCCGTAAAAAAAATATGTGTGAAATTAAATTAATATAATTTTTATATGAAAATTATAGATCTCGACGAGATCTACAACTTTCTTGTTTTGAGTTTTTTCATTTGAAGTCGTTAAGATGCTCAAAAAAATTAATGACATATTATTGAAAAACCATATCTTTTTTTGCGGAATTAAATGAAGATAGCTTTTATATGAAAAATCATATCTTTTTTGCGGAATTAAATGAAGATAATTTTTATATGAAAATTATAGATCTCGACGAGATCTACAACTTTCTAGTTTTGAGTTTTTTCATTTGAAGTCGTTAAGATGCTCAAAAAAATTAATGACATATTATTGAAAAATCATATTTTTTTATGGAATTAAATGAAGATAATTTTTATATAAAAATTATAGATCTCGACGAGATCTACAACTTTCTAGTTTTGAGTTTTTTCATTTGAAGTCGTTAAGATGCACAAAAAATTAATGACATATTCAGACTTAATGTTATTTTCGTCTTTTCACACATGTAGTTTGATGGCGTTAGAGCCCAAACTGACGACAGTGGCATGAAGGGCACAAAAAGTTTAAGCAGTGGCGCTGAAGACCGCTGAACTTTTCAATATATTCAGACTTAAGGGTATTTTCGTATTTTCACACCTGCAGTTTGACGGTGTTAAAACCTAAACTAACGGCAGTGACATGGAGGACAAAAAAAAAAAAGTTAAAACAGTGATGCTGAAGACCATTGAACTTTTCAGAGATTACTATTTTTTTTTTGACACGACAGAAATTCCCCCGTCAAACACCGCAAGTTGCAGCTGGAGGGCGTTGGGCCACCCCGGAGCCCATGTCAAACATGCCCTTAAAGATCCACAGAAAAGAACAGAACAGAGATATCGCCGACGCTTTCGGCCTTCGCCGAGTCTCACGCCGAATTCTACAAATCCCCTCTCCCTCAGTCAACTCCAAGAGCCCAAGGCCCCCAATTTCCCCTCGAGATTGGGATTTTGTGGGTTCAGCCAGCCATGCTCGAGCCGCAGCGCGTTCATCGCGACGCCGACGGCGATCTCCGCGACGCCGTGACCGCCCCCCTTCTCGCGCACCCACCGTCGCCGGCTGAGCCTTCGCCTGCGACCGTTGGTTCACCGGAGATAACCGACGAGGAGATCGACGCCGCATCCGCCGCCTGCTGCCGCATCTGCCTCGAGTCCGACTCTGAGCCTGGTGAGCCCCCCCCCCAATTGACTGCCGGTGTTCCTTACCTTTTCTTTTTAGTAAGTTTGTGCGCAAAGCAAAGGATCGTCGGCCCGTGCAACATTTTTTTTTGTTGAATAAAAGGTTTCCCCCGCTTTATTGCCATAAAGCGATAATAGCGTTTCAGTTCAGTGACGTCGTGTAAAAACGCACAGAAGCCACAAATGGCCATAACAGACATAATCCCAGCATCGGAGCACCAAAACTAAGCCCTGTTACATTGGTTGATCACATTGCTGGAGCCTTCCGAACGCTGAACACCTGATCGATCCGACCCTGAAGAATCCCTCCATTGGATCAGCGGCGGCGAGCTTGCTTCGGCCTCCATTAACAGAATCACCTGCTCCACTTTCTCCTGGACCTCCAGTTTTAGTATTGGCAACCATCCTCTTAGCATCCTTCCAGTCATTGTAAACACCATCTTCATACCCCTCCACGGCACCCCCTGAAAACACAAGGAATTGCGTAATTTCCATAGAACCCACAATACCACAGAAGAGGTGATATTACAGACCATATGTCTCTTATTTGACAACCAAAGAGAAGCTACTGACTCAAAATCATTTCCCATTCTCCTATTACACCAAACTGACACCACATCCCAGACAAGCTTAGCAACACAGCATTGGAAGAAAAGGTGAGAAATCGACTCATTTTCTCCACAGAAAAGGCAAGTCGGATCATTAACCTCTCTCCTTTTAGCAAGATTATCTCTGGTTAAAGTCTATTATTAGATAGTAACCACAGAAAAAATTGTACCCTCGGAGGATTACTCAATTTCCAGACAGCCTGTATGAACACAGGAACCACACCTCTATGGTTTATTACAGCATACAAGGATTGGACAAAGTATTGGCCAGAAGAGCTGAAACTCCACATGATTTGGTCATCTTCCTCTGTCAAAACTATACTTTCCCCAACAGAACTTAACTCTTCCCACATATGCATAAGTCTCTCAGAAACCCTCCTCCTAAAAGACAGCTGCAACTCCTCGCCATTCCAAATTTCTATAATTGACTTCCCCTGTTGCTCATTTATAACATACAGAGGCCAAAACAAAATGTCTAAACTAGTGTTCCCTAGCCATTGATCTTCTCAGAACCTAATCTTTTCTCCATTACCAACCACCCATCTAACACCCATATGGGCAGCTTGCATAGCCCACAACACCCCCTTCCAAAAGGGGGATGATCCCACATCAGGGCAACAAAAAACGTTAGGTTTCATAGTCTTGTACTTGAAATCAACAATTCTGATCCAGATGGAATTAGAGTTCAAGTGGTATCTAAAGATCCACGAACTTAGAAGAGCCATAATCAAACTCCTCAGATCAGGAACACCTAGACCACCTAACTCCTTTTTTTGAGACACAAGTTGCCAATTGGCAAGATGATACTTATGTTTATCCTCAGTATTGTTCCAAAGAAAATGACCCATGTGAGTATTAATCAAATCAATAGCCCACCTGGGAAACTTAATAACAGAAAGAAGGTAAACAGGGATGCTAGCCAAACAAGACTTAAGTAGGGTTAATCTGCCTGCATAGGACAGAAGTCTCCCTTTCCAGCCAGCAATCCTTTTGACAATCTTATCAATAACCGGTTGCAAATCTTCTTTTCTTAACTTAGTAAAATGGAGAGGAACTCCCAAATATTTAATTGGGAAGTCACTCCTTTTGCAACAAAAAATCCTAGCAAATTCATTGGCCCTATATTCATCAACCCCAATTACCAAGAGATCACTTTTGTCATAGTTGATTTTCATACCAGATAATTGTTCAAAGCAAACAAGTAACCATTTCAAATTAGCAGCTTTGTCTAAATTATTCTCCAAAAAGAGCAAAGTGTCGTCCGCATACTGAAGGCTAATAATACCCCCAGGCTCTGCTTGAGGCAAAACACCAGAAATGAGATTAACTCTAGCTGCTCTCATGAGCATTCTAGAAAACACATCTGCTACCAGGTTAAAGAGAAGTGGAGACAGGGGATCTCCTTGCCTTAAACCTTTACCTGGTTTAAAAAAAGTACTATTCTCATCATTGATCCTAATGCAAATGGACCCACCTTGGACCACTCTTTTCACCCAGCTCCTCCACTTAGATCCAAACCCTCTTGTTTCTAACATCTCATCTAAAAAGCTCCAGCTAACCCTGTCATAAGCCTTTTCATAGTCTAATTTCAGGTTAACACCAGATTCTTTTTTCCTGTGGATGTCATGAATTATTTCATGAGCAGCCACTACACTTTCAAGAATATATCTGCCCTTAATAAAGGCAGTTTGGTTGGAGGCAATCAATCTATTAGTAACTTTAATCAGACTATTATTAAGCAACTTAGCAAAGATCTTGAAACTGCAGTTAATGAGACTAATAGGCCTAAACTTCTTAAGAGTTTTAGCCTCAGGTTCCTTAGGTATAAGAGTGATCATAGCAAAATTCAACCTGTCCAGATTTAACTCATTTTGTTCGAAACTATTAACTAGATTCATCAGGTCCTTCTTAATAACATCCCAAAACACCTGATAGAATAAAAAAGAGAACCCGTCAGGTCCTGGAGCACCCTCTGCATAAGAACCAAAAACTGCTTCTTTAACCTCTACCTTAGAAAAGGGTGCCTCCAGCATATCATTTTCACAAGAAGACACCTTCTCTTCCTCCTCCCAAAAATCGCTCCCCAACTTCACACCATTATCATCCTCCTTACCAAAGAGATTCTTATAAAAATCAACAGCATGCTTAAGCATAGAGTCATTATCGTCAATCCACCCCTCCGGTCCCTCAAGGCCAGGAATACGTTTCTTCCTATTTCTCTGATTTGCTACAGCCTGGAAATAGGCTGTGTTCCTATCGCCTTCCTTAATCTTCCTATCTCTAGATCTCTGTCTAACTTTTATTTCCTCTAACTTCCACAAGGCTTCCAGCTCATTAGTAATGTTATCCATTCTGGCTTTTTCTTGTTGATTCAGCCACCCTTTCTCCTGCTTAATGTCTAGCTCATCAAACTCCTTAAGGAGTTGAAGTTTCAGTTTTTTCACTTCAGCATTTCTATTCCAGGACCACCCCTTTGCCTTCTTTCTAAGGAGCCTAATCTTAAATTGCCAAATATCTAAGGGATCAGTGAAGGCACAGTTTGTATTCCACACCTTCAACACTAGCTCCCTGAAATCAGGCTGTTCAAGCCACCATTTCTCAAACCTAAAGATACTCGGTTTCTTTCTCTCACCACTATTAAGATTCAAAATTAAAGGCACATGGTCACTATGAGCCCTGGCTTTTGTTGAAACAAAGGCCAGAGGAAATTTTTGCTCAAAAGAATTTGTACAAAAGATTTTATCAATTGCTGCCATAATTGGCTGATCCTGGTTATTAATCCAAGTATAAGATCTATTGGATGGTTTCAGCTCTATAAGGCCAAACTTATTAATCCAATCTTTGAATAGGTCAACCCATTTCAAGTTCACTATGCCATTATTTTTATCCTTACAACTAGACACTAAGTTGAAATCACCACCAATCACAGTTGGCCCATCCCAGTTATGTGGGAAGGTTTCCAACTCTTGAATGAAACCAAGTTTTCCTTCTTCATAAGGAGACCCATAGACAACAATCAATCTCCAAACGAAATTATCAGCACAGTTCTTGACCATAACCGAGACACAAAAATCACCCTTCATGCAAGCAAGTACAACATTGGTTCAGGGGTTCTACGATTGCTGTGTCATTGGATCATGGATGCTGCTGTCGCCGTTGGATTGTATGTTTGGATCGTTTGCTAGGGCCACATAGTTACTTTGCAACTCTGATAATCGCCAAAGCGTTAGAGGATCTTGGCCTCTTGGTTGTTAATGTAGCAGCGAATTATTAGTCTTCGAGGTTATCCTGTGGCTCTGTTGGTGATAGATATTGCTTCTCTTGGCTTTGGTGCAGGTGATGAGCTAATATCTCCATGTATGTGCAAGGGGACACAGCAGTTCGTGCATCGCTCCTGCCTTGACCACTGGAGGTCTGTTAAGGTAACACCTAGTATTTGGTATGTGCGTACATTCTTCTGTCACAAATTGTTTTTCTTATAAGCTTATGTCAAAATTCAAGATCCCAAGCATAGGACAAGGAGCACACTTAGGTGCAAATTCCCGGTTAACAAAAGTTCTTAATAAACCCTTATCGGCAGTACATTGAATATCCTAACATATGTAATATTGTTGGGTTTTGATCTTTCGTGGGTAAACCGCCTATGCCAATTCAATCATAATATACTTGCTAGTTACTGATATACATTGTTTAGTTAAGCATAGTAGCCCTAAGTTATGTTTTCTTAAAATATCTCCTCAGGAAGGAACTGCCTTTTCACACTGCACAACATGCAAGGCGCGATTCCATCTACGGGTTGAATGTCTGGAGGATGACATTTGTCGTAGAATGAAGTTCCGGTTGTTTGTTGCAAGAGATGTTATCTCTATATTCCTTATTATACAAGCTGTGAGATCACCTTTTCCTCTTATTGCACTATATTGTTCTTTATTATTCATAGTCATTTGTCATTAGTAATTGACTGCGAACAGCTTGCATATATTATTTCTTTGGGTTAAAGCTTAGTGAACCAGGTGGTTACAGCAGGCGTGCATTTTGATGTGTGCACCTCATTTGCTCCTCAATGCTTTTTCAGACCATCGCAGCCATAGGTGGTATGGCATATTTTTTGGATAAAGATGGAAGCTTCAGAAACAAATTTTCTGATGATTGGGAACGGTTTCTGTCAAAGCATCCAGTGCCCTTTTACTACTGTGTTGGTATGCATTCTCTTCTGTAGTTGCACTTTCAATTGTTATGAAGATTCAGATAGCCGGATAATACAATGATGACTAGTGGCTGGTTGCTAAATAGTAAATACATATACCATATAGACTGTATGCATGCATCAGTTTTTTTTCGTATCATTATATTAAGTAGAAGAGTTTAAACAAACAAACAACGCGCTTCTATCGAGCGCGGAAGGAGGTCGACCTAAAACAGCCGTAGCTGGACCATCCTAACAAAAGACCTCTAGTTTCGATATTACATAAATGAAAAACAACCAAGACCAACGCCGCGGTGAGATCTTGTCGAAGGCCCCTCCAGCGTCGGGGAAGAGCGCGGATGGCTCGATGTTGGACGCAGTCAGGTTGCCGTCGAAGATCTTGTCGAAGGCCTCCAACTCCGATGCGGATGGCGCTGATGGACCGTTGGTGTAGCCCATGCGCTGCATGATTAGTACCTCACCTCGCTTGGAAGCAGGTACTCTGAGAGAGTCTCTGAGCCACCAACCGCCTGCTCCGCCACGGCAGGACTGGCTTAGCAGGAGGCTGCTTGGGGGGCTCACGAATAAGCGGAGAGTCGACCTTCTTCAACACGCGCCTGGTGAAGCTCTTGAGGCGGCGTGCGGCGGAGCTGTCGCTGACATTGACCGTGCGGCCCTCGCTGGCGTCGACCGTGCGGCCCTCACGGCATGCATCAGTTTGTCTGAGTCTGCTTAATCAGAATCACTGAGACATCTCTTGCTTGCTGCTGACCTGCTGTAATACTAATTCATGAACATTGCCCTGTAAGGCCTCAAGTTCTTCCCCTTATACATTGAAAATAAAATTGTGTAGTTATTCAAATTCAGATATGTAATTTGACACCCTATTAACGCTGCCTTTTCTGGTTCTCTCTAGCTTAAACAATCATAACATTCCAGATTGCAGTTTTTACAGACCTGTTCAAGTACAAGATGCTAATATCTCCTTCTATTGAATCAGCTACTGATATTTTCCCCATAAATTTGGTTCAGGTGTGGTTGCGTTCTTTGTACTGGTTGGATTTGTTGGGCTAATATTACACCTCTCCTCTTACAACAACAACGATCCGTGCTTGGTTGGATCCCGTGATTGTTGCTTTGGGTGGGGTCTAGTGGACTTACCAGCTTCAATGGAAGCCTGTTTTGCTTTCGCTGTCATATTTGTTATTATGTTGGCCATCCTTGGAGTTGCATATGGGTTCTTTGCGGCAACTGTGGCCATCCAGAGGATCTGGCAGCGGCACTACCACATACTTACCAAGAAGGAGCTGACAAGGGCAAGTTAACCCTGCTTAAATTGAAGTGCCTGCACTCATCATTTTGCTTCGAGCCAGGGAAAGAGAGTAATAAGTGTTCTTGTTTTTGTGTTTGATGACACGCAGGAATATGTGGTGGAGGACCTTCCTGGGGGTTACACACCGCCAAAGATGGATCCAGAGCATGAGCAGCGCTTGAAGGTGTTGCAGCTCTTGTAGCACTTTTGCAGGTGATGGACATGAAGTATCGCATCTTTTTGTTGCATGTTTTTACTTTTGCATTATGTGTGTGTATATATAGTAGTTCGGATAAGCATGTGTTCTAGTGACGAAGTCCATGTACTTAAAATACAAATATAGAACCACGGTTGGCAGGTGGGAAATCACATACAGCTTTCTAGTGATGTTGACTCTGGGGATATAGGTACATATACTACGTGATATCTTTTTACTGCTTTAACTTACGTGATTTTGTGAGGAACAATGCAAGTTAAATTGACTGACTGTTTCGCCACTTACTGCCGAGTCATTGTATCGAAATGATTGTTTCCTTTTTGGTTTTCTTTCATTGCCTTTGGCGCCTCAGTGTCTCGTGGCTTTTTTATCTGGTATGTTGTATTTCACCTGGATGAATCACTCTACTAGCTCTGTGTACTAACATAACGATTGGTGGCGGTAGCCTGGCTGTTTCTCTCTCCCGATGAATGGGCATGAATCATCTGCATCACGTCTCTTGAAAATGTGGGAAGGACGTCATACCTTTTCCTCTTGGACTCTTGGTTATTGGATACGTAGTATATAAGGAGTCAAAGACCCGATGCGATCATCTCTAGCTGCTGCTTGATCCTCTCCAGGAATTAGGCGCTCAAAGAAGCCACCATCTCTGCATCTGTAACACGTGAAAGAACTCTGCACGCCAACGCCGCTGCAAGGATGGCTCTGTTCTCAGTGGTCAGTGCGCTGCTTTCCTTTGGTGGGCATGCGCTGAACTGCAGTGCAGCACGGCAGATGGCCCGACGAATCCATCGGGCCAATGCAGTTAGCGCCTGGCTGTGTATCGCGGGTGCGTGCGTACCTACGCATGCATGGCTGAGCTTTGGTATAGTTGCATAGCACGGCAGGTTTCGTTCGTCGCGTCGCCGTCGCCGACATTTGCTCTCAGTAGCGCCAGCCGCCAGGTATAAGTGTTGCCCGCGTTCCAGTCTTCCCAGGTGCCGATCGAACTATTGTACGTACTAGTATAGTTCTCAGCATTGATGATACGTAACGTAATATAACTAGTCGAGCCCTACGCTGAAGCTGAACCGGTGACGAACTGCAGCATGCCGATAGATCCCGATGGAAAACCGCGTGATCAGGAATTCAGGATCGGTCTGATGAGCGACCGACGATGCTTCCCTGAGGTAGAGCCAACGGCCACCACTCCTGGGCAGTGTGCGGTGTGCGTGTGGAAGGTCTTAGGTCAGGTGGTGACTTCCATATACTAGAATCTAGATTCCTGTAGGATCAAAATTATTTTAAGAATTGAATAAAAAAATATTTTAAGAAACGTTTTGAATGACGAATTCAGATCATTTTAGGAGACTATTTGGCTAGTGATTACTGGTTAGAATGATTCAAAAAAACATATACATGAAATATGCTTAAAAATTTTCTGACTTTTTGTGAACAACTTAAATACAACTCATTTTAACTCATTGCACTACAAAAAAAAAGGATTATAACTAACAAAAAAATACAACTGCTACAACAGGACGAGGAGGCAAAGAAACGGAGTTGAAAACAACCTTTTTACCAATTCGATGATGCACTGCAAAAAATACGACTCTAGTCGAAACCTTTTCCGTGTGCCATAGCCCATAACTGTTCGGCACCGATTCAGAAACTGACACGTTTCCGTGCGCCAAACGCCCCCGAGGCGGTTTTGGGGGTTTTAAAGCGGAGTCCCTCCCTGCACCAACGCAACGTTCGCTCTTGAGCAACAAAACAGAAAACAGCGTGATCTTTCTCCGATCCGCTGGTTCAATCCACCGCTCCTCTTCTTCTTCTCCCAAAACCCCACGGGCAAGCCCCCGCTGGATTCGACCGATCGCCGCCGGAGTTAGCGTTCGGATCATCAACCCCAGGCCGGCACGCACCCGCCGCGCGCCGACCGGAGCCCGGAGGAGACGATGCGCAGGGACATCGAGGCCGAGTACGCGCCGTGCTGCCGCATATGCCTCTCGACCGACAACCACCGCGGTAATCTTCCTCGCCCTAGCTACGCAACTTGATACATCTCCATGGAGATGGAGCCGAGCTCAGGCTCCCCCTAATTACAGTACCGTTTCTTAGCCTAGGTTTGGTTTCAAGACTGAATGATTATATCCTCACTTCCGCTACTTTTTGCGCCCGAAATTATTTTTGGTTAATTCTTCTCAAACCATCAAGTGGATTCCAAAGTTTTAAAATCGAGCTATAAATCTCATCCCTCCACCATCCTATTACCTAAACTCCTGGCTAATCCTTTCCTAAAGATATATAATTCAACTAGGGCATGAAGTAATCATACATCTAATTCTTGTGGATCCATCATGCTTTTCAGAGCTGTATTAGGTTTACCAAGTGTTGTAACTGTAGCTGCATTAGCTTATTACACAGCAATCCTGCTGCTGAGCTGTTTCTAATTGATGCTTCTCTTGGTTTAGGACTTTTTGGTGCAGGTCATGAGCTCATATCTCCCTGTAGGTGCAAGGGGTCGCAACAGTTTGTACACCGTTCCTGCCTAGACCAGTGGAGAGCTGTCAAGGTATTACATTTAGTCTCCAAATTTCAAAATTTTCCTTGAAGTTTTATAAAAAAGGACATATAGCACCTGAACAACTATATACTCCCTTCGTACTTTTCTAGTTGTAATAATTTTGATGCAGTTTTTCACCTTTCTTTTATCTTGCAATTGACACGTAACCTAAGACAAAACAAATTTGCAGTATTACCGAGTACATCTGATGACAAATCTAGTGACGCAGTTTCCATATATTTAACTATGATACCTTTAAACTCACTGACTAGTTCGTAGATTTTGCAACTTGTTGGATTCTAAAGAGTTAATAAACAAAAATAAAAACAGTACTACTACCATTTGGAACTCACAGAAGTGCTCACCAATGACTTCTTTAAATTGCGGCAGGTTGAACACAGCAGCAAGAATATTAGCTAGCAAAGTTTGATAACGCCTGATAGAATTGCATGATTGGGAGTTGCTAATCCATTGTTAAATTAAATCCGAAATCAGAAGCCAGCACTAGATAATTCATGTCTTAACATTTCTCTGCAGGAAGGGACTGCTTTTTCACACTGTACTACTTGCAAAGCACAGTTCCATCTCCTGATTGAGCTTCTGGAGGATGACATTTGTCTTAGAATGAAGTTCTGGTTGTTTGTTTCTAGAGACGTCTTCCTCATCTTCCTTGCAATACAAGCCGTGAGATCACCTTTCCTCTAATTACTTTCTGTTGTCTTCTGTTATTGTTCAAAATAATTTGGTACTGGTACTTATTAAATTAGAGCATTTAGTGTAGTGTTTCAGCAAGAGGTTTTACCCTATATTATTATGTAATGTTGTGTATTCATCATGCAGTGTTACATTAGGCATTGTTGAAGTCATACTGTGCAAGATACTTGTGATGCATATCTCATTTGGTTTTTTTTTTCTTTTCAGGTCATTGTTGCTATTGCTGGCGTGGCATTTCTGTCGGACAGAGATGGAAAATTCAGAAACAGGTTTACTTATTGGATGCTGTCAAAGCATCCTCTACCCTTCTACTATTGTGTTGGTACGTATTTTCTACATTAACTGCTTGCAATTGTTATGAAGATTGATGTGTTCTGATGATGCAGTGCTTACTGATTGACTGGGTGCTAAACAGTAGTACCATGCATACTGTTGGTGTGCATTGATTTGTATAAGTAAACTCGATCTCTATTTTAACCGTGCACTCTCGTCTCTGAAGTTGTTTTCTTGTTCATTAGTGTTGTACAGTAATTCAAATTGAACATGTCATCATGTCACACGATTGCAAATGCTATCTTCTTCTTTATAGATATTCAGCCTGTTCGCTAGTTGGTTTCTGGGCTGATAAGCCCGGCTGGTGTTGGATTGTTGTGAGAGAAAAATACTATACCATGACTGATAAGCCCTGGCTGAAACCAACAAGCGAACAAGCTGATTGATGGCGCCATTGCAGTCACAATACAATCAAATCACTTTTTTTTGACATATCTGTTCAAGCAAAGATGAAAAGGTAGCTAATGATATCTCATGTTCTGTACCAATCTTGTTTCAGGTGTGGTGTTCTTCTTTGCACTGGTTGGACTTTTGGGGCTGCTGTCACACTGTTTTTCTTTCGATTACCGTGATGATGATCCATCATGCCTGCCCGAGCCCGAGTGCTCCTACGGATGCCTGGACTGCGAGACCTCACGCTCAGGGGATGATGATGATTGCGTTTGTGTTGTTATCATGGTCGTTGTCCTAGTTTTCGCTCTCCTTGGAATCTTTTACGGTTTCATTGCAGCAACTATGGCCTTCCAGAAGATTATGCAGCGCCACTATCACATACTCAAGAAAAAAGAGCTGACAAAGGCAAGAACCTCTATTCTACTCTCAACACTTTATCCATTCAAATTTTGCTGGTTTGTTCATTTGTTCAATAACCAGTCAAAACTCAAAACATTATCGGTGAGCAGGTGTACGTGGTGGAGGACCTTCAAGGGGGTTACTCGATGCCACCCAAGATGGACCCAAAGCACGAGCAGCGCCTGAAGATGTTGCAGCTCATGTAGCTGTTGCCACTATACTTTGGCTTGCATTTCTTACCGACGCATCTAGAACATTAGCATGACGTATATACATTGCGGGTAGAGATATATGGTCCATAAATAGAGCCATGGTTAAACATGTCTAGTTGTGCATATATACTGGAGTGGACGTGTTGATTAGCCGCGGATATGGGGAGAGAATGTATATAACAGTAGACATGATTGGAATACGGACCAACGCTAACTAAATAAGCAGCTGTCTTGATACATGTGTGCCTCGCTTGTATTGACTAGCATGGTTGTCTCTGTCTGGTGGTCCTTGAGATTTTCTTGAAAATCTCATACTGATGCCTATACTTGCGGCAGAACCGCCCAGGCCGACTCGGAACACGCGCATCTGCTGACCACTCGGCACTAGACACGCCCAAGCTAGACTCGAAGAAGACCTTAAGCACCCGCGTTTTTCAATTTCCATAGCCACATCCATAAGTTTTTGATATATAAGTTTATCAAAACCAAACACAATCATTCCAATACATGCACATAACCGAGTACTTCCGAACATAAAGTTACATCAATGGTTCAACAGAAGACTGTTAATTTACATGAAAGACTGAGATAAATGAACACATAGCGGAAGCAAGTTTTAATTTACAATAAAGTGTTTTTGAAAGCTTAGTACAAGATAATGTTCCATGAAACTCGGACATGGACATGGGACTGACGTAAGATGGGCCGGCCCAACCTGGCTCCCCTCCCCGAACCCTGGGGGACCCCTGGGCCTACCCTCCCCACCACTGCCGGCAACGTCGGCTGCCGCGCCGGCGCCGTCTCCCGCCTCCCCACTCTCCTCCCCTCCCCTTCCCAAGTCCAGCGCCCGCTCCCCTCCCCAACCATGCTCGGGATCTGGCGCTGGGTCGCGCGCTGCGCGGCAGCTGTCGCCGTCACCCGCACCGTCCTCAAGCCGCGCCTCTTCGCCCCCTATGACGCCAGGGGGCTGCCGCCGTCGTGTCCGCCACGCATCCCGGTGCGCATGCCACCACTGCGGCCGGCAAACGCGCGGAGGCCGCTGGGCCAGAGCCGGCGCTTCGGCCACTCGTGGGGTGGCCGTGCCGCCACCGCCGCCGCCTGTGGCACCTGCTCCTTCCTCTACGACGCAGATGCCGCCACCCACTCCCCCTCCACCGCCGGGGGCTGTCGCCGCTGACGCGGGCTCCCATCAGCCCCACGGGGGAGGCAGTTCCGTGCCCCCCCCCGCCGCCGCCGCCGGGCACAGCCGTCGCGGCCACCACCGCCGGCGCCCCATCACCGGGGCAAGCTGTGGCCGCGGTAGGTCCGTGCGTGGGGCCTGGGTCCTGCTCTTCCATGGCGCCGCCTGTGCCGAACGACCTGGCGCCAGGGGTCGAGGTTTGGGTCTAGGACCGGGGAAGCGAGGTCACCTCCGGGGTTGCCGTGCCGTCAGTCGCAGACCGCCGCGCCAACGCCGGCCACCCCAAGCTCCTCCTCCCTATTGGCGACTGCGGCTCCTTTCTGGCCAGTCTCGGGAGGCCGTACAAAACACCGCTAGTGGGCGGACGATGACGGCGAGGAATCTGACGGCGGTCACCCCTCAAGCTACCTTGACGCCGTGCATCTCCTGGCTTAGGCGGTCACGGCGTCAGCGGGCACGGCGCCCTCTGCTAACGCCAAGACTCGACATGCCTCGGGTTCGAGCCGTGCTGGAGCGGACCCCGGTTGACAGGGACATGGCCGTAGGAGGAGAAAGCGCAGCCGGCCGCGTCCACAACTGATGAACGGCTTGCCTGTGTGGCCAGTGGAGGGTCGTGTCCCCACGCCAGCGTCTCGGCCGCCGTGGACGGGTACCGGCTCACATGCGGCTTGGTCTACGCTGCGGCGCCCGCCAGCGCATCTCCGCTCCGGACGCCGACGGCTGGCGTGAGGTCCTATCGCAGGGGTCATCATGCGGCGCCAGCGGAGCACGCCCCACCCACACTGTATCGGCGAACCAGCGCCCCCCTACCCGCTATTCGGCGTACCTACTCGAGAAGTGTTTCAACTGTCTCTCCACCGCGCACAGGGTGGCAACCTGCAAGCTGCCTCCACGCTGCCTCTGATGCAAGGGTTTCTGACACCTCGCATGGGACTGTAAGAGGTGGCGGACAGTGCCTCCTTCAAGCTCTAATACATCTGGTGCCACAGAAGGCCACCCACGATGACCTAATCGGGAGCATGCCTCGAGCACTTAGCCGTGAACTCAGGGCGACACGCCCAGCTCGGCTGGAGCTATGCCAGGTGCGGCTGTAGCCGTGGAGTGTGGCTACGCGTGGTGGCAGTGGGCGCCGACGTCGGAGACGTCGGCGGCTGAAGGGGGACGCCACCGCTATGGCAATGAGTGTCGCCACCAATAGTCACGGGCGGTCGGTAGAGGCCGCCCAGACAGCACCGGCCTTCACCTCGGTCGCTGCTGGAGCTCAGGCAGGACACGGTGAACTGACCAATGAGACGGGCATCGTCAAGCCCAACCCATCGACGCTGACGTTGTGCCCGGACGCCACGCATGATCGTGACATCACGAAGGACCTGATGGTGGAGGAGTTCGCAGCCTCGCTCGTCAACAGTCGGATCGTCGCATGGCCTTCCTCGGCGCCCCCCGTGCTACAGGATGAGGCCCCGGTGGTGGCGGCCCCCTAGCTAGAGGATGAGGACCCAATGGTGGTCTCCTGAGAGCTACAAACACCAGCCCCGCGCCCCATTCAGTGGACAGAGGACTCGTCCAAGACACACTCAGAGCACAGCTACCCTCCATGGTGGATGCTGGCCCTCCAAGTTCACCGCCGGTGGATACCCACCAGACTGTGGACAACGACGACTCCACCAAGCGCCACCTTGACAGTTTCATCTACAAAGTGACGCGTAAGAGGGACTCTCCGCTGATTCGTGAGTCTACCAAGCAACCTCCTGCTAAGCTAGTGTTGCCATAGCGGAGCAGGTGGTTGGCAGCTCAGAGCCTCTCCCGAGTACCTGCTTCCAAGCGAGGCGTGGTGCTAATCCATGCAGCATATGGGCTACACCAAGGGTCCATCAGCGTCATCCGTGTCGGAGCTGGAGACCTTTGATGAGCTCTTTGACGGCAACCTGACTGCGTCCAATGCCGAAGCGCTAGACGTGCTCTTCCCGGCAGTTGGAAAGGGCTCATCCAGGCAGCTGTGAAAATGCAAGGCCACCTTCTAGATCGTACCGCTGCGTCGGTATTGGTTGTTTCTTTTTATGTAATATCGAAACTAGAGGTATGTTTGTCCAGCTATGGCTGTGTTAGGTCGACCTTCTTCAGCGCTCAATAGAAGCGTGTTGTATATTGGTTTGAACTCTTCTACTTAATACAATGATATGCAAATATTTTGCGTATTCGAAAAAAAACTCGGACATGATGGTTATGGCAGAAGAATAAAATAAACAAGGTAGGGTACCATTGGTCTTTGTTTTCCCTATGAAATAGGAATTGTGAGGCATTCTTTTGAGTGTCCTTTTATATTAAAAAAATTACAACTCTAATAGTGTCGGGTTCATAAACCCGGGGTCCCTAATGGGCCCGCTCTCCAGTAAAAGCTCGGCCCAGCAGGCGGCATTACAAACGACGCACAACTCCTGGGCTAGCCCAGATACCTAACGACAGGCCAGAAGAGCGATCTAGTCTTCGACTGGAAGGCCTAGCCAAGGAGGGGGCGACGCTCGCTTACGACTCCGACCGGAAGGCCTGGCCAGGGAGGGGCGATGCTCGCTTCCGACTCCGACCCACTTCTCCGATCGGAAGGCCTAGCCAAGGAGGGCGACGCTCACTTTCGACTCCGACCCGCTTCTCCGACCGGGAATACACCGAACCTCTACCTGCGGCTCTTCTCCGACCAGCGCGGTCGGAGCCAACTAGGAACGACCGGCCGGGGACGCCCGCTCGGTGAGGACCCAAGAAATCAGGCGAAGCAGATAAGGTAAGGCGATCAAGTCAACCGCAATACCGAGGACCGTACCCTGCACACCTGCAGGACAATACTGTTAGGCCATGCCAGAAGGGTACTTTACAGCCTTCTAGACATGTCAGAACACGAACAATGTTGCGGCGCGCCGACATTTGTCCTACAGTATGGTAGGCGCCGACATTTGCCATACCAGAAGAACACGATGGAGCCTGCCATATGCATCTAGGCGTCAACAGTGTAACAGAACCGACCAAATCATAAGAACGTAAGTACAAAAACAATCACCGAAGCGATCAAATTCCTGTACCTAAGCTCCCATAATCCCGGTAGTCCGGAAATCACGAAGGATTTCAACCAACTCTCGACATACAAACCAAGATCGTAATGATTCAACACAACACATCATTCGTTACAACATTTCACAAGTAACATTCGGATTACATCCCTCAGAGTTCAAATAAAATATTACAAACCAAGTTTGAGTGTGCGGAAGCAACATAATTTAGTACAAAACATCATAGTTTTCAAATACATTGCCAAGTCCGAGTCATGTCCCGCAAAAGCATTATCAGGTACGAGAACTAGTAGAGACCGCGCCCAACGGTCTAGTCTTCATCCCCAGCAAGGAGAAGGCAGTACTTGCAGCAACCAAAGTAGAACTGGTCAGTATAGATGTTGCACACATTACCCAGCAAGTAATGTCTCCAAATCTTCAGGGCATGAACAACTGCAGCTAGCTCTAAGTCATGGGTAGGATAGTTGACTTCATGCTTTCGAAGCTAGCGCGAAGCATAAGCAATTACTCGGCCTTCCTGCATAAGAACACACCCCAAACTGGTGCCACATGCATCACAATAGACATCAAAAGGCTTTTCGATGTCAGGTTGTGCCAATACAGGAGCAGAGGTTAGCAAGGTCCGCAAAGTGTGGAAAGCCTCTTCACACTTCGGAGTCCAGACAAACTTCTCATCTTTTTGAAGTAGTCGAGTCATGGGCTTGGCGATTTTTGAGAAATCCGGGATAAAGCGAC